GCCTCCGGGACGACCTCCGACAAAGCGCTTCAAGTCAAGCAGTGAAACTAAAAGGCAGGTGAAGTGCAAGAGATGCGGTTCTTGTGATCGTCATAATAGGAGGACTTGCAAGGTTCCTATTTGATGTAAAGGTTCTGAGTATAAAGACTTGAATGAGAGTAGTTAGTTTTTAACTAGTTAAAGTGCTATGTGATTGATTAATGACAATCATAGTTGAAAGGAATAGAAATTGATATGCAAGTTGTTAATACGGTGAAATAGCAGTCACTGCATATGAATACACTTTGAATTTTTGGTATTAATACTTAATATTTACCATTTTTGATATTTTGCAAATTTCGGTTTTGAAGTTTGATATGAATTAAGCATTATTGCTGTTTGAATAATCTATAAATGAACAAACACTATTTAATGCTCATTGTTCATGCCATTGTTGAAATTGAAAGATAGTTCTATGACATGGTATTAACAATTTATTTCTATCAAATAGCATTAACATTGTATTGAGAGTGCGTTGTTATTTGTTGCAGTTCACCTTTTTAGTTGTTTTAGTGCTATGGAGACCATTATTTCAGGTTACATACACTGTTAATTCACGTAAATAAACTGGTTTTTGAATAAGTACATAACTTGAATTTGAAAATCACTTTACTTCAATGTTCTAAACCTACACAAGTCCTAAGAAACTACAATATAAGCAAGAATTTTGGCAAAATATTTGATTACAACTTCATTATTTTGCATTTCTCTCTTCTCTTTCTTTGATGGAAATCCAACTTCTTTCATTGCTCATAATTTTCATGAGGACTTCTTTTCTCATTTGCCAGACCTTTTCTTTGTTGAAATCTGATTCTATTTGTTGGTCTTTGGAAAGCTGCTTCATGAAGTGCATGACAAAGACGCCACAATCATTGCTGCATAATAGAGATACGCATGCAGGAGTTATTTCAGTATTTTTTTAGTTGAATAGGATGAAAGTTTCACTGTTATTGCGTAACTTACGAATTGTTTGCTTGTTGGGGACATTCTCTGTTCTCAGTCAGCTTGAAGTTAGTAGTATCATGACAAATCAGATACTTCATTGTCTGAGCATATTCTGGTGTAAGTTCGTTGCTGGCAAGTATTTTTGATATCATTCTAGCTGAAGCTTCATTAAGCCCTCTCGGCATCTTGGCATCAAAATCAGGAATTTGGACGAGTTTTGTTTTCAGTGATACTGCAGCACATTCCTTAAGAAGACAGAGGAATATATTTGCTGTCTCAACCTGCATCATAGTCAAGTATGTGCTTAGTTTCCTTTAAATTTAGTGTCCTATGTATTAACAGTGTTAATCACCAGTCTTACTTACCAAAACAATTGCCTTCTTGTGATAATATTGGAGAGTTTGTTCTGATGTCCCCCTGAATGAGTTGAAGTGTGTCCATTTTGCTGCACCGGTGTCAAAGACAAGCAGCGTATGGTGGTTCTCATCTGTAATTGGTATGAACACTCTATCAACTCTTCCAATATTTTCTAGGAGTGGCATATAGAAAGCATGATATGTCAGCTTGTGTGAGGCACCTCGCAAAAACATCTGCAAAAGTCATGTGTTGGTGATTAGTGAGCATGTTGATGATATAAAATTGATGTATTAGATGTGATCTTACATAGTTATTGGCGGACAAATATGCATTTTTCTGTTTCTGAGGGTTCTGCTTCGCATCATCATTAAGTGCCTCTCCATAAGCATCGATGATTAGTGCAGAAATTGGACCATCTCCCATCAGCTTTTCAATGTTATGTTTGTACAATATTGTCCTATTTTGTAGGTAAAAAGCGTCCCTGCGACAATAATGTTGTTTAAAAATGATAATCTCATAATAGTTTAATAACAAGACAGTTCTATGACATAGTATTAACAGTGTAATTCTATGACAGTTCTAAGGCATAGTATTAACAGTGTAATTCTGTGACAGATTGGCTTACTCATCAGAATCAGATGCAGATTTCCAGTAATTTTCCAACTTCTTCTTTGATATTTCATCCAGCCTGTTGTAGACCTCATACATGTGCAACTGAAGGTATGTATCTTTGTCCTCCTTTTTTTTGTTGGCTGCTTCATCTTCGCTTTGGCTTGCTCTTTTTCGGCCTTTCTTATGTGCTTCGGGGTATGTGTAATCTGGTTTCTTTGCAGGCTTTCTGTCTTTT